CTGTTTACAAAATGAGTTCCCATTCCCAGCTTGTTCTTGATGGCAAATACCTATTAGTGCAGAGGTCCCCAATTCTGAGGGGTTCTGGGGAATGGTGGGAGGTGTAGCATGGCTGGGGGTGCAGTCCAGTCACAAGGGGAGGGAGTGCCAACCTGTTTTGCTCCTGGCCTTGGCTGCCAGCCCCATGCCTGGGGTCATGCCTGTTTACAAAATGAGTTCCCATTCCCAGCTTGTTCTTGATGGCAAATACCTATTAGTGCAGAGGTCCCCAATTCTGAGGGGTTCTGGGGAATGGTGGGAGGTGTAGCATGGCTGGGGGTGCAGTCCAGTCACAAGGGGAGGGAGTGCCAACCTGTTTTGCTCCTGGCCTTGGCTGCCAGCCCCATGCCTGGGGTCATGCCCCCTGCTGTGGCCACAGGCTCAGCCACCTTAGCCCTGTCCATGTTCCCCTTCCCAAAGCCTCAGTTCCAGCCCCAGCTCAGGGTAGGGAGATGGATTAGGTAAGAGGGCCACAAGGTAAAAATTTGGGGATCACTGCTGTAGTGCAATATCTGGGGGGCCCAAGGGGAGGGGGCTGGGGTGTGCGCTTTGGTAGAGGAGCAAAGCGGGTGTGCTAAAGCCCAGTGGGGTGTGCTAGAAGCAGAGTAAGCAAGTGGAGGAGGGGAGAGGAAAGAGGGACAACTAGGGTCTGGGTTTTTTTATGGACTAGCTGTTCCTGCATGGTCTTTTGGACTCTATTTGGTATTCATTGAACAGAGAGGGGTGTAGCTATGACCCTGCCCAGGATGTTGTGTGGGCCCTGCGCAAGGTAGCCAAAAGCTACATATACATGAATGGATCCACTAGGCAAGAAGAATGATTGGATCAGACATAATGGGTGTGTTTGGTATTTTCACTATGTCGCAGTGTACACATCAAATCATGTCAAACCAAGCTGATAGTTTTATTTCCTATCAAAGAAAACTTTCTGGAAAAGGGAGTAGTGGTGGATGGGGTATACCTAGACTTATGTTGGTAAAAATCTATACCCTCAAGTGATGCAGTTAGATCACTCTATCTCCCAGGCTACATCTACTCTGCAGGCTTCTTGCGCAAGAAGCCTTTTGCGCAAGAGTTTTTGCATAAAAACGTGTTGTGCAAGAGCACGTCCAAAGTTTCAAAGCATATTGCAAAAGCGATGTGCTTTTGATTTCAAAGCACATTGCAAAAGCGATGCGCTTTTGCACAAGAGAGCGTCCACACTGCATGGACGCTCTGGAGCAAGATAGCTCTGATGGCCATTCACAGAACGGCCATCAGAGCACCTATGCTTTTTCCCATAGGAGCGTCCACACTTTTGTTTCTCCTCTGGACCGTCCACACTTGCCTTTTTGTGCAATTGCTGTAGCGCAAAAGGGAGCTATTACCTACACCAGCAAAAGCCCTCGGTTCTGCCGTTTAACTGCTGATTTACTTGTGCAAAAGCGCATTTGAGGTGTGGACACTGCAAGTTTTGCACAAAAACCTTGCAGCGTAGACAGCTTTTGCACAAAAACCTTGCAGCGTAGACATAGCCCCAGTGCACAGCCCAGTGTCGACAAGAGGGCCTCTTGCTTGGAAGTGGTTTCCGCTTCTCAGGGAAGGAGGCAGCTCTACTGACTGGAGGAGTTCCCTCCGCAGCTGCATAGAAGGAACCATCAAGACACTGCAGCCTTTTACGTATGAACTGGGAATGCTAATTCCACTGCGGATCTGATCCCAAGCCTTGCGGTATGATGGGACCTGACTAGCCCTCTACAGCAGTGGTTCTCCAAGTGTGGTCTGACCATTTCACAGTGGGGCCATGAGCTCAGGGCATGACCCCCCCCCTCCCAGCAGGGAGCCTATGCTGGTTTCCAACCCCACAGCCATGCTGCCCCACCCCCACGAGGTTGATATGCCAGTGCTGGCTTTCTGCTGTGGGGGAGAGGAGAGCAAGCCACCCCCCGGGGTCAGATCCACCTTGCAGGGGAAGAAAGCAGCTCTATGCACCGCCACTTCGCCCCTCCCTCCCCCCAGGAAAGGCAGGGCAGGAAACCACTGGCCTGGAGGTTTTCCCTGCTGCTCCCATTGTCCGGAATCATGGCCAAAGGGAGCAGCAGGGGATGGCACCTGGGAGCGATGGGCAGCACAGAGCCAGGTAAGCACCCCCACCCCCAGACTGCATCCCTCCATCCCCTACCTGCACCCTCCTTCCCTCCCACACACGACCCCCTGCCCCCAACCTTCTGGCCAGACCCCGCCCCTATTTTGTCACCATGGCTGGCTGGCGGGCTGCGGTGAGGCATTCCAGAATGTGATATGGAACAAATTAAATGTAGTTTAAGATTATTAAATCTAGCTCTTTATGTGCTGCGTATACAAAAAAGTCTCTTATAATTCATCTAAAACACAATCTAACTGCCATTAATCTTGTATCACAAGATAATAATCAGATTCACTGTGAATGCTGGGTGAGATAGAGGATTAGGAGGAAACTTTAATTAATGTGATGACATGCATAAAAATCATTTGCAAGGAAAAATTTTATAAGATACAGCAGCAACAATATGGTAAGATAAAAGAGTAAGAGACAAGCAACATCAGAATGGGATGATTAATGATGCACCATTACTATAAGAGCATGTCAACAGCATAAGATTATCACCTGAAAAATAAAAAAATGGGATGTCAGAAGAAGAGACCTCAATAACATCATTTGATGGGCAGTATGGACGTCCAACATAGAGGAAATTATTTGTAGCATAAACATGTTAATTAGCTAATTACTTTATATAAATCACCCTATATATGTATCTTGACAGATGCAGATGCGTATCTTCCCAAAGAACAAGGTTTTCATATTTTCAAGCTAGAGTTTGGATGGCTCAGGATATTAGGCAAGGAACATTTCATCTTTATATCACTCTCATCCAGGCCAACCGTGTAATGAAGTACCTATTCCTGACTATCCCAAGGTAATTAGTATGACTCTTCTTGAACATTAGCTTACTTGAAAAATAATACTAACTAGGGAAAGCTAAAGGTGAAAGGAAAGGTGCAGGGAACACATGGATTTTATTAGGATAACCATCCATTGATACAGGGAAGAAGGCAATCAAGGGTGTTTTATTGGACTCCAAAGCAATGAGGTTCAGTGGATGCTCAGGGGCTCAACCACTTGAACAAGGTGCTAGCACTTTGTAGGTTAAAATAAAAGGGATTTTGTGCTACAATTTTTAGGAAAAACAGTTTATTAGGCGAAAATGTGCATAATTGCTGGGGAAGAAATTCTACTGTTCCAAATATAGCAGAAAACTTGAACAACTGAGTAAATGTTATTAACCCTTCAGTGCTGCCAGTTTCAGTAAGATGTGCTGCATATGGATAAGTGCCTATCTGTCAAGTAAAGCAGCTGGAGAGCTTGAGGCAGATTTAATTTATACATTAAATTTAGGGTTTTTTCCTCATAACACACACAGCTTTTGAACATTGAGTGCAAAATAAGGGATGTTTACCTCTGGGGTCTTGTTTCAAATATTTTGTTCTGATTTAGACACATACTCATTATTCTTAGATCCTGATTTTCATAGACTCATAGACTTTAAGGTCAGAAGGGACCATTATGATCATCTAGTCTGACCCCCTGCACAGTGCAGGCCACAGAATCTCGCCCACCCCTCTTAGAATAATCCTCTCACCTATGTCTCAGATATTGAAGCCTTCCAATACTTTGAAGGCCCCAACATGCAGAGAGTCCTTCAGCTGTGATCTGTGCCCAATGCTACAGAGGAAGGCGAAAAACCTCCAGGGTCTCTGCCAATCTACCCTGGAGGAAAATTCCTTCCTGACCCCAAATATGGCGATCAGCTAAACCCTGAGCATGTGGGCAAGACTCACCAGCCAGACACCCAGAAAGTTCCCTATAGCAACTCCTATCATCCCTCCATTGACCTATTTCCCCCCCCACCGGGCAGATTGCCAGGGGTGCAGTGACATAGCGAGGGGGCAGTTGCCCCTGGGCTCCATGCTCAGGGGGCACCAATTTAGTTTCCCTCTACTCCCACTGTCATTCCTCAAATCACCTCCTTACTAATTTAAATAAAGCATGTACCTTTTTTGTTTACCCCCCCCCCCAAAAACAAAAGACAAAACAACCCCAACTGCAGTTAAAGACAAGCACCACTGGGTATAGCTGCTAATCTACTACACATTTGAGAGCACTTGTGTGTGTCTGTCTGTCTGTTCAAGAACTCCTCCTAAATGGGAAGAGCTAGGACCACCAAATGCGATAAACAGCTTCCTCTTATAACTTAAAAGCCAGGTCAGGATTTGGTTGTGCTAGGGTAATGGGATGTGCCCGGAATGGGATTGCTTCTCATTAAACCATACGGAAGAGAGAATCACCAGGCAGGTGAGGGGGGGCTGCCTGGAGGTATGTCCCTCCCTCTATCCAGGACTGCTATTGTCAAACCTGGACATGCCCCAGCCAAGGGACGTGCTCCCCTCTCCCAGCTGTGCCTGCTGGAGCTGTAGCAGCCATAGAGAGGTGCTTCTCACCTGGCCCAAGCTGTTGTGATGATAGAGGGCTGGGATAGTCCTCTCTCCCTGGGGCAGCCTGCCTACTGAACCCTTCACCCCAGCCTCACCCCAGCGTAATGAATTAAATTAAGCATGGACATTTTCATTTTATTTTCCAAAAGTTAAAAAATAATTGAGTTGAGGACCAGAGCAACGCTGGGTAAGTCTAGTAACATACACAGGGC